TATTAGTACCATCAAATTTCCCAAATCTGCAAGACATCAAGGGCCAGCGTAATGGATCAGAGACCATTCTCCTCTTCCCTCAAAGAGTGACCATAGTTTTTTCTAATTAAGCAAAATGCAATGTTTGTGCTCTTTGTACAGAACACAAATGTTACTACCCTTCCACACATCTATGTATACAAGTACGTTATTCATATACAACTTTACATGGGGGGGGGGATGGTCAAGGCTTTTAAAACTTAAAAGCGGAGTTAAGTGAGCAAATACAAGTTTAGGATAGAAAAACATACGAATTTCGTCAGACAGTACCCAAGCCGAGTCTCACAGGCAGAGCGGAACGACCTCTGAATCTGCGGCCGCCTTTCCCAGCACCGAGAGCGGGACAGCGGTCCCGACAACAAACAAACTGTACACAGGCTAGGCTCCTCCACAAAACTGAGAACGTCACAGTTATTCAAGACACAAGGGGCACACACAATCGAGAATCCGTTTCTCCGGATTAGCAGGACAGAAGCAAAGGTGTATGTCTGCCGGGGGCAGAAAGGACCTGGGAGGCTACAGGGTAGAGCAGGCTTTTCTGACGCCAAGACGCGACGCTTGCGGAAGACGGCGGGCAACCTGCGCGGTCGCCCGCCCCGGACCGGCCTCCCGCTCCTGCCCGCCACCGCGCTTACCAGACCCGCCGCCATGTTCCAGCTCCGCTCGGCCCGGGCAGGCGGGCAAAAGACGAGACACAAGCTGGCGACGGCGAGAGGAGACCACGCACCGAAGCACCCTCCGGGAGAGCAACAGGCGATGGCCCCGAAAAGCCGGGGCGGACGGGCGGCAGACGTTCCAGGTCCCGGCAGCTAAAAGTTCACTTCAGCGCCCTACCCCGTGAGCTCCGCCCTCTGCGAGCTGAGCCCGCGCGCCCTTCAGGGTTTGAACGGGCGGCGCGTGCGCAACACGGGCCGCGCCACCCAATAGGGAGGCAGCCGTTAGGGCCCGCCCCTTCCGCCGGCAGCAGCTCACTTCCGCTCGGGCTTACTTCCGCCTACGCCCGGCCTCCTCTGGTGCTGCGCGGCTGGTGCGGGCTGGGGTCAGATCCTGGATGCTGCTCTGCGCTTTGAGCCCAGTGTAAAAGTCAGCAATTCTTTATGGAATAATGATACTTGGAAGGATCAGGGATCACAGTCGCAGGCGACGAATGGAAGAGAGATTACCTCGTGCAGATTCGTCGGCCACGCCCAGCTGGCCTGAGAGCTGTGATGATTCGGACGACTTGGGATCTTATGCGAGAGGGCCCGCGAAGTGGTCTGCGCTGGTAGCTATTCTTGAAATCTAATTTCTGAAAAGATTTCCGCGGTGTTCCTTGTTGAGCGGCCGCGGCTGAAGCCTAGAGCGTGCTGTGGGAACGCGGGGCCTCGGTGCGAGCTGCCCGGCCGCGTCCACGCGCCCCGCCTTGCTGCGAGCACGAACTCGCTGATCCTCTTTCACGAGTGCGTTCAGGAGATGTGATCTGAGACACAGGCATTGCACCTACTGAGCGCCGCCCGACAGAAAGCTGGCTCCTAAGACGTGGCTGTGTCCTCGTTCACCTTAGTAGGCAGACCTAGCTCCGAGCAACTTCTGGAGTTGCCCCCACCGCCCAAGTGCCCGCGGGATTAAGCGGGTTGAATCCGTTCAGGACGCGGAGGTAGTCGGGGCAGTGCCCCTGAGATGCTCAGAGCCCTGATTTCCTCTATGCTCTTCAGTTGTCCCCACTGGGTCGTACACCAGGTTCATCTGCTGAAGACCACAAGGTGTCACTGCAGTGTCTCTGTGGCGACAAACTATCCCGGACAGATTAGAGATGCAGGCCATGATGAGAAAGGGCTGGAGAGAGCTTTTCAAGTTAAAGCCAATGAAGGATGAATAACTTCAGATTTAAAGGTCCCAAGTTTAAAACAAGTGGAAAAACCACAAACACTTCAAAATAAGTGTGAAATCAGTCTGGTGCTTTGTCAGGAATTATTGTACAAATAATTAGATGCACTAGAATAAACTGAAATCAGTATTTCGTAATTATCAAATATTCTTTAATTCAGATCCCAAACAGTATTTGGTGATAGTGGGTGAATTAATGAGGAAAAAGTGATGGAGAGGTAGCTCGGTGATAGAGTGCTTGATGAGCATGTGTGCGGTGCAGAAAAAGAATTGTGCAGCAAGAAACCTGAAACCTGGCTGGCTTGAGTCATTAAGGACATTGTGGCACTTATCTCTGTGTTTCTATAATATACTGGGAATCTAAATTAGGTGCTCTGGAGATTTCATACCTTTCTAGTGTGTGACTATGAACTTGTGTCTTACGATTTAACCAAAAATTACATGAAAATTGAGAAAATAGATTTATTATTGAATAAATTTGCTATTTGGAAGTTGAACAAATACTTAAAAGTTAGAATAGTTTCACATGCTGTCACCCATTAAAACCAAAATTTTTTTTTTATGTATTTAGTACAGGACCTCACTACACAGATTGGACTCAAAGTGATCCTGTTTTCAGTCTCCCAAGTGCTGGAATTAAAGTCAAGAGCCACCACACCCAGTCTCATTGGCCAGCTCAGTGTGCTCTGTGGGCAGAGCTGGCCCAGCAGGCCTGGGAACCTCTGCATTCTGCTTAAGCAGGCGCTTTAGTCCATTGTCTGTCTGTCCAACCCAAAACCAAAATTTTAATTTAAGTTGGTTTTTTTGGTGGAACTGGGGATTGAACTCAGGCCCTTGGATATGCCAGGGAAGCACTTATTCTGCTAAGCCATCTCCTCAGCCCCAATTTAAGTATTTTTTGATAGAGAAGAGAGAAGTTATAAATTCTGAATTAGGTCTGAGCTGTTCTATACTCCACTAATTATGCTGTTATTGACCATTGAATTAAATTACCTGTTACTCAATTCTTTTGCCTGTAAAATGGAAATAATAGTAAAAGTTGAGATGTTTTGACTAAAATTCCTTCAAAGATGTAAGCACAGTGCTGGCAACATAATGAGGACTCATTCATAAAGACAGTATTTTTTTACTGCACCCTTTTTCTCATCCATATTATATACAATTTGATGTCACATCCGGAATTCATAATAAGCTAAAATACATTGCATGCATACTACCTGCCAGCATCTGTGAATCTTCTACATATCTTTGAAACAGAGTATCTGTGGAGATGAAGATGTAGCTCACTGACACAGTGCCTGCCTGGCAAGCATGAGGCCAAGAATTTGATTCATGGTGCCCAAAAAAAAAAAATCTCTGCAAGAACTATTAACATCTCTTACAGACAGGGCACTGGAACAAAAACTTAAGTCATTTGTTCAGAACCACATCATCACTAAATGGTGGATATTAACCCAACAATTCTAACTAGAACTACAGTGAGAAATTTTAATATACATAATCATAGATGTAAAGTCTTACATACAAAATTATGAGGATAGAATTGTTTTAGTTGCAACTGTACCAGTCTTGTTACAGTAGTTAGTAGCACCTGCATAGTTTTAGTATTCTAAAATAGGGTTGTGGGGCTGGTAATATAGCTCAGAGGTGTAAGCACCTACTTAGCAAACACAAGGACCTGAGTTCAATCCCCAGCCCCCAAGCCGTGCCAGCCCAGAACCCCAGATGTTCCATGTCAGCTCCAGGCTGACCAAGGCCAGCATTCAAGAGGTGAGACAAAAGGATGGCCAAGAGTTGGAGAGCAACCTGGAGGCTACAAAAGTGAGCACAAGGCCATCCCAAACTGCATAGCAAGTTCGTATCTCAAAAAATAATGTAAAGTAAAATAAAGTTGTTCTAAACCTATTAACACACTGATCTTGGATGTTCTGGTTTCCAGAACTGTAAGCAATAAATATTTGTCCTTTGTATTAAGTAAATAATATAGTGTAACAGCATAGAGTAGGGTTGCTAATTTATGGAAGAATAATAATTTGTTTAAGAAAACAGACTTTGTAAACCTCCCATATGCATAAGAAAATACCTTTATTATGACAAGTGATTACATCTCTGCCTTTCTCCCACAACTACTTAGGTAAAGAGGTGTTTGTGCCTATCAGTCCATGAAAGTACATGTAATTAAATGTATCAATTGTGAAAAGTAGAAAGATGAATGGAAAGTAATTATAATCTTAGATAATTTCAAATTTATAAATGTCAAAACTTATTTCAAAGAGCTTAATTTAGACTTGATTTCTTTTTTAATGTGTTTAGTACAAGGTCTACAGGGTCTCACTACGTAGATTGGACTCATAGTGATCTTCCCAAGCACTGGCATTACAGCAAGCACCACCACACCCAGTCTCAGCTGTCTGGGCACACCTTGGGGTGCAGGGCCAGCATGGCATCTGGTGCTAGGGATCGAACCCCTCCCTGCATGTGCCTAAGCAGGTGCTTTAATCCACTGAGCTATCTGGCCAGTCCTTAGACTGACTTACTATCAGATAATTTATGGGTTTTTAGCCTGAACTGCCTACCGAGAGCTTGTCTCAAAAAAAGGACAAAAAACAAAAATAAACAAACATGGGTTTCTTCATTTATAAGGCTTCTTCAAGAAATGGATTTCACATCACATAAATAGTCATAAGTGAACTACTTAAAAAGAATTCCATATTCAGCCAAGGATGGTACCATGCACCTATAATGCCAGTGACTAGGAGGTAGAGGCAGGAAGATTATAAGTTTGAGCACCTCCTTGGCAGCTTAGCAACTCACAGGACTCCAAAAATTAAAAAAAAAAAAGTACATTTAAAAAGACTACATAGTTTTGGCTCACACTCCAGTACCCAAATATCACATATATCAACCCTATGGCAGAGTTTAGCATAAGGATCTGGCCTTAGAAGTGAGTAAACAAATTCAGTTACTTTGATGTAAGGATATATTGGCAAAAAACGGAAGCAGGAATGAGGAAAAGATAGACAAAAAGACAAGAGCTGGATTAGGTGATGGCCCATCTGTTTGGTTGGCAAGATGACTCCTGAAGCAACAGTATGGACATTTATTTATACTTTTGAAAAGTTAGTGACATGTGACACAAGGTTGCCTAGTGACTCATAGCCAGCATTAACTAGACAGGGGGCTTACCTCAGGACTGAGCTAGCTTGACTGTTTTAGGCACTGAGGCCTAGTCATGCTTTCACACATTTGACCAATTTTCCTGCTTCTGTGGCTCCCAACACTTGAAAATAGTGGATACATCTCAGCAATAAAAACAAAGTGACAATGTGGATGGTTCAGAAGTCAAGTATAAGTGATTACATGAAAAGAAATCAGATCACTTCAGGAATAAGGAAGCTGTGAAGGCACACAAGTAAACTTCCCGTGACAAATATTTTGTCATGATTTAGTGTCTGCTGCATGACAATATATATTTCTCAAAACAGAACTGCTTCTAAAAATGATGGCTTTACAGTTTTAACTCAATAAATTATGTGTGTGTGTGTATGTGAGAGAGAGACAGAGAGAGGCAAATGCACCTTGTGAATCTTGATCAGAGTCTGATTAAAAACAGAATAAGTGGGCCAGGGAGATGGCTCAGTGGAAGAAGTGCTTCCCTGGCAAGCACAAGGGCCTGAGTTCAATCCCCGGTTCCACCAAAAAAAAACAGAATAAGCAAACAAGTACAATAAAATCTGTGGAGGACCAACTGGGCAACTGTCCTACAAAAAGAGCAGTCTCCATCTTGACTGTGCTGGACCCTGTTTCCATGTATTGGTATGTACAGATCTGGCTAAGGCACTTCCTTATCCCTGCTATTGGCTTTAAGGAA